TTAACTTGGTGCCAAATTCCCAAGAGCCACCCTTACACATCAAATATCACTATGACAGGGCTAAATCCTTTGTCACGTCGAAGTGGTACAGGTAGTCTTTTAAGATTAACTACATGTTTTTAACAATTGGAACATGAGAAAGATCACCAAAAATGCATGATATAGTTCTCTATCTCGAAGATGCGTATAAGACACAGACTTAAAGGAACCTCTACAAGAGTCACACTAGGATTCAGTCTCTCAGCAATTCTGCCTTCGAGATACTGCCCCTCCCCCTCTCTCTTTTCTAAAACACCTATTCCTTGAAATATTTTCAGAGTGTCTTCATAAAACATAGCTACATATCATCTAAACATTTTATAAGGTTTATAATTAAATGGTTGAAATAGCACTGTTGGTAAAATTGATTAGAAGTAGTTACAACTACTTTTTTGTGTAATTTTCCCTGCCTGGTATCATGTATTAAGGAGATGAGAAGTGATTTATTGTTTGCCTTTATTTTTAATATATTTATTTTTATGTGTATGTGTGTAAGTGTATGTACATTCACCACATGTGTGCAGGAGCCTGAAGAGGCCAGAGGAGGGCATAGGATCCCCAGGAACCAGAGTTACAGATGGTTTTAAGTTGCCATGTAGGTTCTGTAAATGAACCCAGAAAGGGGGGGGAAGAAGGGAGCGAGGGAGGGAAGGAGGGAGGAAGGGAGGGAGGAAGGGAGGGAGGGAGGAAGGAAGGGAGGGATAAATGAATGAATTATTATTGAGCAGGGAAAATGATTCATCAGGCAAAGTGCTTGTTTGCCACAGAACCATAGGATCCTCCGTGTGAATTCCTATCACCCACATTTTTCAAAGCCAGGTTCTTTGATACTAATAAAAATAAAATTTTATGCTCAGTACCCAAACTTGTCAGACATGAAGAAATTTGTTTTAAAATTAAAGACATTCCAAAACAAAATATTAAAGCACAGATTCCCATCAGATATTGGTCAAATAATGTCATTGTAAATGACAATTTATGCTGGTATTGCCATACTAAGAATCATGCTGGAAGTCTGTAGCTAACATTCTCCCCTTGAAGTTAGTCATGTTATGTTAGAAGCAGCTCTAGAAAATGATCTCTCATCACCAGAACTGTTTTCAGTGTGTTCTGAAAAAAAACAATCCAGTCTTTATACCAGGATAGTTATCTCAATTTAAGGGGCAGGGCAGTTACCTTAAGGTGGATACAATGCTGTCTTTACACTGTATTATTCCAAAACAATAAGCTGATCATTTTTGTATGATTTTAGAATTCATAACAGCTTTTTTCATAATAAATGGCAAATATCAACCAGGTTCCCAGGGTGATTAGATTAGAGTGATCATTCCAAAAGTAACCATTCACCTCTATTCCAAAAACCCTTAAGAATAATTTCACAGAATAATTTATTTGATCTATCCCTTGAGTCCACAATTAGCATTTGACCCAAAGAATAAAGGTAATCAAGAGTAAGAAATATATAATGCTGACAAAGATCCTATCTATTATTATACTGGAATGTGAATCACATACAATTAAAATCAAGGGTTTTTTTCTGATGGCATATTTAACCTCCAGTCCTATCTCAAGTTATTTACTATCTCTGTGTTTAAGGAAACTCTAAAAAGCTGTATTTAAGCACAATAGAGTTGACTTTAAAAGGAAAAAGTCTAGTTCTTTGAAATTAATATGAGCTTATTTATTCTCTTTAGAAGATGTCTCTCAAAGCAGGATTCATCTGTGCTGACACCAGTCATAATGGTTCAGCACAAACATTGAAGGTTTTGAATACAGAAAAAGCCCTCAACTTTTAGAAGTAAAGTTTTAAGAGGCTCAAATAAGTAAATGAACTTGCCAAACTTCATGGAGGTAGTTATAATTCAGGGTGATGAATATGCAATGCTACTTAAAATAGGGCAGCAGCCTTTAACTCATGTAGACAATGGAGTATATTAGAATCCTGCACTGTAAGAGTTTTCACTCTGAGCTTATTCCTTTCTTGTGAAGCACACAACTCCACACCAATTGATAACATTCTCATATCTTACAGTATGAAAACACTAGTGTGTGTATGTGTGTGTGTCTATCTGTGTGTCTGTGAGTATGTGTGTGTGTGTGTCTGTCTGTCTGTCTGTCTGTGTGCACACTCATGTATCCAAGGAAGGCACTGGTGTCTTCCTCAATCCTTCTATTCCTTATATATTAGGGTAGAGCCTCTTAGTTAACCGAAAGCTTGAACTTCAGCTAGTTTGATTAATCAGTCTTGTTCCAGGGATTCCCTGCAAACCCTCCAGCATACCAGCATTACAGACACTGTGTCCATCTGACTGTTGCACGAATTCTGGCAATACAAACAGCTGTCCTCATGCTTGCATAGTTGTTAGCAATTACAATTGAGGAACCATCTCCCCAGCTCCTGGAAATAGTTCCCAATTGGGGTAGCACAACTATCACAGAGTGGACACAGGCCAGAGATGACCATAACCACACTAAAACACACAGAATAGCCAAGAATTGTCCAGTCTAAGATGGCAACGATGTGGAAGCTGAAGACAGTGCTACTAGGACCCAAGCTCAGAGGCCCTACTAACGCATGAAGTTTCCAGTTACTCTGAGACAGAAAAAAAGGACAGCTGGGGTGAACACATGACTACTTCAGTGGTCAGCTTAACCCTGGCATTTATTCTAAATCTCGGCACTTGAAGCCCATGTTCATTTGGCTCTCATTCTAGCTAGAGTCTTTCAAGGATTTTCTTTGTGCTATTCAGATAAATGTTGAAGGATTCCTCTGTATAATTAAAATTAAGAATAATTTTTAATAAAATTCATTAGAATCGTTGGCTTACCTTGAAAAAAAGCTCAAAAAGAAGGTAAACAGAGTACATCTTTTCAATCACTATTTATCCACTGCGCTTTACCTAAACTATTTAACTTCTGTTCCCCTAAATGAAGCTGATTGATCACTATTAATTTTCATATTTCTATTGTATTCCTGGGAGTCCTTTGAAACCACAACATTGTTCATGAAGGTAAGTATTCTTAAATTAAAACTAGGAATCTTCTCTATATTAAAGACAATATAATGTCACATAGAAATGTCAGAAAATACATCTCTGACCAGATACTTCCTGTGAAATATAACACAGTTAAACCAACTTTGTACCAACAATGTACAAGCTCCCAGACACTGAGGTAGAAAACACACACTAACAAATGGGCAACCTTGTCCGTTGCAAGACAAATAAACCAAAATCACAAGATAAGAAAAAGCAATGTGTTTTCCATGACCTTAATCATAATTCACCAATACTTACAAGGCAACTTTTCAATACTGTATCACCCTCGAAACTGATTTCAGAAGCTTGGACCTGTGAATATGTGGTGTGTGTGTGTGTGTGTGTGTGTGTGTGTGTGTGTGTGTGTGTGTGTGTGTGTCTGTCTGTCTGTCTGTCTGTCTGTCTGTCTGTAAAATCTGATGGTTTTTCTAGATACTAGAACTTGATACAAAAGCTGTAACATCTAATGCCTCAAAAGTAGACTAGTAGAAAGAAAACTGAAGAATGCAGGGTTTCGAAGTCTTAGAGATTTTCTAGACATGAAAAGTGGCTAGAAATCTGGGTGGATCCCAATGAAGCCCCCAGCTATTCTCCTTTTTAGTAATTACTTTCTCTCTTAAATCTTGCTGGATTCTCCTTGTCAAAGAGGTAACAAAGCAAGAATGAAGGTTATCAGGTTGAAATGAAGCTAGAGATGCCCCTAACTTCTGCATTGATCTCACCAGGGGGAAATGTCTGGTTGCCACAAAGCTTTCCAAGAGAGAAAAAGTGATGCAAGATGGCGAAAACATCTCAGAGCTGAACCGGGAATACTACAAACTCTCAAAGAACACAAAGTTAGTAAGGCGATCCAATGATGTCAGGGTCTATTTACCAAACTTGTATCTCGGCTATTGAGACTTGAATAAAAGTGGAAAGAAACTACCTTTTAAATATTTAAATATATATATATATATTCCTTAGAACAAAAGGTCAATGACATAGAAGATTAGAATTGAAATTTTTCAATAGTTTAAAAGTTACATAAAATAAAATGCCTGACTTGGAATCCTGATCTCTTCTGGAGAGTGGACAAGAGTAACACACAATTGTATACTCAACATTGATTAAAAGGGCAGGAAAATCAAAAGTTCAAGTTTAGCCTGAGCTACATAGTTCATATCCTGCCTTTAAGAAACAAATCTAGAGCTAGAGAGACGGCTCAGCCATTAAAGGCTAGGCTCACAAAAAAAATATGAGAAACAAATCTATCCAAACAAAAAGAGCCTCTCTGAGTGTAGAGCTTTAGGCTGGCTGTAGGACTCAAAGTCTCTGGTTTTGTTCTTGTTTGTTCCTGTTTTGGTTTTGTGTTTAAATCTTCCTTCTGATTATGGTTTGTGTTAATGTGTGAAAAGAATTCAAGATGCATATAATAATGCAAGAAAAATTATGGCACTGGTTGCTAACTCTCTAGTAAAACAGATAAGGGTTCCATATCAGAAGATGAAGAGGAGAGTCAGAGCAGGCCAGCCCCTCTTGCTATGATAAGCACCATGTGCCAAAATAATCTGAATAGTGATGGGTTGATTTGGTCTACAGGCTATAAGCCATTACTAACGAAAGCCAAGGTAGGACTTGAAGCAGGGACCAATGGAAGAATGCTGCTTACTGGCTTGCTTCCCGTGATTTGTTCAGTTTTCTTTCTTATACAAACTCAAGACACCGCCTGCACTGGTTGGTGACACCACCCACAATGATCTAGGCAATACCATACCAATCATCAATCAAAACAAAAAGCACCCCACAGACCAACTTCATAAAGGCAATTCCTCAACTGAGGTAGCCAGGTATCAAGTAGAAAAAACTAGCCAACACACAAACCAGCTTTCCTATTATCCTGCACAAGAAGCTCACTCCACAGAAATGGTACCATTTATGATTCCAAAGACTGTACTTTGAGGGACCACCCCTATCGTTCACTAGTAGAGAAGCTCCTATGAACATGTAGAGTACCTAAAAGCAGGAGGCTGAAGTGTGCTGTTTTCTCCTGAGCACGAAGCAAGTTCTTCCTGTGGCTATGCTGCAACAACCTTCTGCCATTGGCGATCGTTCTTCTTCCCTTTGGGAGAGTTAGAGAGAGAAAGCATCATATGAGAGACTTCCTATTTGAGAAAAGGAAAAGAAAAAAAGATAGCAATTTTAATCAGAATATTTCTTTATTGGGATTAGTCTAAGGTTGACCTAAAGCTCAGAAATCATACAAGAAAATATTTAAAATTTTGATATTTTCAATTACAACTTTTACTCTAGAAAACATATCAGAAATAAAGTAAATAAAAGTCAGGAAAATGGTCTGCCTTCCAGTGCCCTGCTAGTAGCGTCCTGAGGTACTAGTCTCGCATCCATCCACGGGAAGAGGTAGGCATGGGTCTGTTTCCAGCCAACCTTCCAGAGTTCTGCTTGGAATCTTCTGAACCCTGGGGACTGCACCACTGGGAACTTGTCCTAGCAAACCAGCCCATCCAGAGTCTGCCAGCATCAAGGTGCTAGTCCGGGAGGTAAACATAGGCCTGTTTCCAGCCCACCTTGGTGCCCTGCTCGGAGCCTGATGAGGCCTGTTGACTGCACAGGCATGGGGGAACCTATCCAGGCAGACCAGGCTATCCAGAGTATGCCAGCATCCTAGTCACGCCTCCACCCATGGGAGAAGGTAAGCATGGACTTGTTTCCAACCCAACCTCCGGTGCACTGCTTGGAGCCACCAGAGGCTTGGGGAATGCACACAGGGGAACCCATCCTAGTGGAACAGCCCATACAGACTCTGCCAATGCTGCCCTACTAGACCCGCCTCCACACACAAGAAGAAGAGAGCCAACAGAGTATTGAAATGGCTTGGATCGACCAGAAGAGAACCTTGGAACTGTACCCAATAGGAGATGGAGAGGCCCCACTGGTACCTACTGTTAGAAGGGGTGGGAAGATGAGAGTGTAAGAACACAGTCAACAAGAGAAAGATCAGTTTGACACCATCATAGTCTAGGGACTCCATACCAGCAATACCTGAACAACCCAACACAGAAGCAGCAGAAGGGAATGACCCTAAAAACAATAAATATGATAGAGATCCTCAAAGAGGTAATGAGAAAAATCCCTTAAAGAAATGGAAGAAGGGTCTAGTGCCTGGGGACCATCACTGAGTCTCCCCTCCCTGCAGGAGCCTATGTACCCCAGATTCCTAGTCTTCTTTTCCATCCGAGGGACCAGGCAATTCGGGGTCTGTATCTGGTCCTGCTTTCCAGTGCCTGGGGATTGCCACTGAGCCTCCCCTCCCAGCAGGAGCCTACACACCCAAATTTCTTGGTCTTCTTTTCCACTCATGGGACCAGGAATTCGGGGTCTGTTTCTGGGCCTGCATTCCAGTGCCTGGGGACAACCACTGAGGATCCCCTCCGAGCGGGATCCTACGCACCCTAGATTCCTGGTCTTCTTCTCCACGCTGTGCGGGACCAAGCAATTCGGGACCAGACAATTCGGGGGAATTTCTCCAGCTTGCCCTCTCTCGGATATCCTGGCCTGGGGACCGAAGTCAGGTCGAGTCACCCCAAGAAAAACAAGCGAACATGAGCCTGCAGAGAGAGCCAGTCCACTTCTGTCCACACTCAGGGCAGAGGCAGCAGTGAGCTCCGGGTCCCCATGTTAGACCCAAATTCTTCCCGCTAGCCTGCTCTCGGATCTCCTGTCCTGGGGACTGAAACCAGGTCGACTGGACCCCAGACAACGAAGCAACCAGGAGCCTGTAGAGAGAGCCTATCTACTCCCACCCACACTCAGGGCAGAGGGCCTGGAACAGAGAGCGGAGTCCAGAGACTATTGGATTTGCTTGCACCCACCGAAAGGGAACCCTGGTCACCTACCCACCAGGAGAGGAAGAGGCTCTTTCTACAATATAAGAACACACTCAGCAACAGAAAAAAACAAATATGACACCACAATAGTCTAGAGATTCTACACCAGCAAGACCTGAACACCCCAATGAAGATGAAGCAGAAGGGAATGACCTTAAAAACACTTTCATGAAAATGGCAGAGGCCCTCAAAGAGGATATGAGAAAATGGAAGAAAACACAAACCAAAAAATCCAACAAATGCAAGACAAGGAGGAAAACACAAAGTAAAAATTACAAGAAACAATTCAAACAGTGCAAGCGTTGAAAGCTGATGTGAAGATATTTAAAAAAACACAGTTGAAGGAATAAGGGAAATAAAAAAAACTGGGGAAATGGTCAGGTATTACAGATGCAAGCCTAACCAACAGAATATAAGAGATGGAAAAGAGAATCTCAGGTCTTGAAGACACATTAGGAGAAAGAGATTCATCAACCAAAGAAAATCTTAAGTCCAACAAATCACTAACACAAAATATCCAGGACATATGGTACACTGGGAAAAGACAAAACCTAGAAATAATAGGTATAGAAGAAGGTGAAGAAACCAACCTCAAAAGGGCAGAAAACATATTCAACAAAATCATAGAAGAAACCTTTCCTTATCTAAAGAAAGGCATGCCAATGAAGGTGCAAGAAGCTTACAGAACACCAAATAGAGTGGATCACAAAAAAAGTCCCCTCGCTACATAATAATCAAAACCCCAAGCATACAGAATAAAGAAAGAACACTTAGAAATAAGGAAAAAGAACAAATAACATATAAAGACAAACCTATCAGAATTACACCTGACTTCTCCATGGAAAATCTGAAAGCCAGAAGTTCCTGGATAGATATTCTACCAACTCTAAAAGACTATGGAGGCCAGCCCAGATTACTTTACACAGCAAAGCTTTCAATCAATGTAGATGGAGAAAACAAGATATTCCATGACAAAACCAGATTTAAACAATACATCCCCACTAACCCAGTCCTACAGAAAGTTCTGGAAGGAAAACTCCAGTCCCAGGAAGTTAACTACAATCAGAAAAAACATAGGCAATAGATAATCCCACTTAACCAACAGCCAAAACAGAAAGGGGGTGGAAATCCACATACAATTCCAACAACAACAACCATTCCAAAACAAACAAGAATGAGAAATCAAAGGTCATTAATATACCTCAATATTAATGGTCTTAACTTGCCCATAAAAAGACACAGGCTAACAGAATGGATGCAAAAAACAATCCATCCTTCTGATGCATACAAGAATCATACCTCAGCTTCAAAGACAAAAGTTACCTCAGAGTTGGGAAAACATTTTCCAATTAAATGGACCAAAGAAACAAGCAGGGGTAGCAATCCTAATATCTAACAAACTAGACTTTAAACTGAAATCAATCCAAAGAGATGAAGGAGGTCATTTCATATTCATCACAGGAGAAATCCACCAAGATGAAGTCTCGATTCTGAACATCTATGCCACAAATACAAAGGCACCCACGTTCATAAAAGAAACATAAATAAAATTCAAACAACACATAAAACCTCACACACTAATCATGGGAGAATACAACACCCCACTCTCACCACTAGACAGGACTACCAGAGAGAAACTTAACAAAGGAGCTAACAGAAGTTATGACCCAAATGGGTTTGATAGAAAATACCATCCAGACACAAAAGAACAAACCTTCTTCTCAGGGACACATGGAACCTTCTCAAAAATCGACCACATACTTGGCAACATAACAAAACTCAACACGTACAAAAAATTGGAATAACTCCATGTATCTTATCAGACTACCATGCTTTAAAATTAGAATTCAACAACAACACAAATTGCAGAAACCCTACAAACACATGAAAATTGAATAATGAACAATTGCATCACTCATGGGTCAAAAAAGAAACCAAAAACGAAGTTAAAGACTTCCTACAATTCAAAGAGAATGAAGACACAACATAGCCAAACCTATGGGACACTTTGAAAGCAGTGCTAAGAGGAAAGCTCATAGCACTAAATGTCCACATGAAGAAATTGGAGAATAGTCACACTAGAGAATTAACTGCACAAATAAAAGCTCTAGAACAAAAAGAAGCAAACTCACCACGGAAGAATACACCCCAGGAAATAACCAATTGAGGGCTGACTGAATAAAGTAGAAAGTAGGAAAACAATACAAATAATCAATGTAACGAAGAGTTGGTTCTTTGAGAAAATCAACAAGATAGAAAAATCTTTATCCAAACTCGCCATATGGAAAATGTGAACACGAAAATTAACAAAATCAGAAATGAAAAGAGGGACATAACAATGGACACTGAGGAAATACAGAGAATCGACAGGTCATACTTTGAAAACCTGTACTCCAAAGCAGCTGTTCCTCCGGCAGCATCAGGTAAACAGGCCGGCTTCCCGGCCTGTGCTCCAGTGACTGCAGATTGCCTGGGAACTGCACAGAGCTCCCAATCCCGGCGGGAGCCAAGCACCCCAGACCCCAGGTCTTATCTCCCACCAACGAGACCAGGAAACCAGAGGAGGCTGGGAGTCCAGGGAAGCAGCTGTTCCTCCAGCAGCATCAGGTAAACAGGCCTGCTTCCCGTCCTGTGGTCCAGTGCGTGCAGATTGCCTGGGAACTGCACAGAGCTCCCAATCCTGGCGGGGGCCAAGCACCCCAGATTCCAGGTCTTCTCTCCCGCCAACGAGACCAGGAAACCAGAGGAGCCAGGGAGACCAGGGGAGTAGCGGTTCCGGATCAGGTACAACAGGACCCAGCATAGGGTATAGGGGATCAGGTAGGAGGTTAAGCACCCCAGATTCCTGTTCTTCTTCTCCACCCACGGGACCAGCACTTGGACAAGGAATAGAAGAACCACCAGATGATCAGACTTGCTAGCACCCACCAAAAGGGAACTCTGGTCCCCAGACCAGTAAGGGGCTCTTTCTGCACCCACTAGAAGAAGAGATGGGAAAGACACAATACAAAAACACACTCAGCAACAGAAAAACAAATATGACACCGCCAGATTCTAGAGACTCCACACCAGCAAGGCCCCAACATTCCAATGCGAACGAAGCAGAAGAGAACGACCTTAAAAGCACTTTGATGAAAATGATAGAGGCCCTAAAAGAGGATATAGGAAAATCCCTCAAAGAAATGGAAGAAAAAACAAACCAAAAAATGCAAGAATTGGAAGAAAAAACAAACCAAAAAAGGCAGGAAA